ACAATTGATATGAAATGAGTACAAGAGTTGCGGAACAGTTCAGGTGATGATCCAAATGTGTCCAAAATGAGTGGTAATTCAAAACACAAGAGAAATCACTGTTTGATTAACTTTAAAAATTGTTTTGTTTTTTACAGAATAACAGACAGCACACGACTAACCAACGTAGTTGTAATGGATACGTAACAATGGTGTGGCGACAGATAGTTAAAATGTCAATCGTAGACTACCTGTCCTCTGTGGGCGGCCTAATGGGCATGTATTGGCTTAATAAGAAAGTAACGGGACTGATTTAATAGAAAATAGAAAATTCATTTTTATTGTGTTTAAATAAATTAATTCAAATTATAAAATAGCCATTTTTATCTGCAACTATTGGCCATCATTCGGACAAATTTTCATTTAATTCCCGATAAAAATGGCTGCTCTGAGAGTCAAAGAAGTGAGTGGTGTTTGTTTCGACCACTACTTTTGTTTAGCATTTTGCACCACTAAAACATGACACGAGAGAATGGTATTAACAGTCATATGATAGTGGAATAACTGGAGTATATGGTGGGTGTGGAGAGAATTGTCACTCAAAGTCCTCTAATTTTTTTCGGGTTATTTTCAAAAAATATGGTCTAAAAATAGGCCAAAAATAGCCATATTTTGAGCATATGTTTAATTATTGGCTCCGGACACCGCGGTAATCGCTTTTAAGTGGTCATATATTGTTGGTCAGTGAAAGTACATAATGACCAATAATTTCATATATGGATGTCATGGATTTGACACATCCCGATAATTTGACACATAATTTTCTACTTTTCGGGGTCGGCCCGTTCGGGTGCGTTTTTAGTGGACATAACCAATGGGTATAGACTTATGAAACAATTTATAATATTACTTGGTAAATAATACATCACCTAAAACTGATAGATTATTTTTGTGAGCTAATTTACTAATCCTCATGAGTAAAAACTAAAATAGTTTAAGTTTTCAAATGTGTTCGGTATCATGTCTTCAGGTAAAATCAACACTTCTTGGTATAAATTAAAAATTTTTTTGACATAAATGTAAACACATTAAACACATGTATTGATGAGAGTTGGAACCGATGACCTGGCTCATAACAAAATTTTTTTAGACCTGGTCAAATATAACGTTCCTTAAAAGTCCCGCTATATAATTATTAAGCCAATATATAAACACATTAAACACATGTATTGATGAGAGTTGGAACCGATGACCTGGCTCATAACAAAATTTTTTTAGACCTGGTCAAATATAACGTTCCTTAAAAGTCCCGCTATATAATTATTAAGCCAATATTTAGGTCTAAGCGTTTACTCAACCCTAGCATTACTAATCGCAAAAGTAAACAAATTTTTCAAATTGACCAATGTCATTAAACGCAAGATTTCACCTAAAATTAAGTATAAAACACAAGTGATTCGTGTTTTAGCCGCCAGTATATGCGCTCTGTTAATGGTAATACAGGTATCACAAATACACCAAGATTACACCGATTACAATGCTAAATCTAATATTGAAGTGAGTAAAACTATACACCTACCTTCGTTAGTATTTATAGTTTACACAAAAGATTTCACAGTACATACAGCCCATGGTCGTAATGGTGACGTAACCAATTCATACTTCACATTTTAATAAAACTTTCTCAAACATTTTACGCGCAAACAATCTATCACTATTCAGGCATAAAATATATGACTATAGCAAAACTGTAATCGGGTGTCATTTTGAATTCGAGCATGGTGAACGGGTTCAATGTCCCAAGCACAATACGCTTTTCGCTTTTAACACAAGGAATGGATTGTTTATTTTTAGCTCGTTCTTTACGCGCGAGTCCAGCGTTTCCGATACATTGGCCGCAAAACTATTGGGCAATAAATTTCGGCGAATGGTCATCGATATCAATAGCAATAAGATGTTGATACTTCTTATGACTAATTTAGGCAGATGGCACAAGAGGACCAATTTGAATTTAAACACCGAGTATAACGTTATGTTTACGGGACAAACATTTGTACGATTGAAACGCCCGTCATTTGCCTGTCTGTCCGATACGATCGCCGCCGACAACGTGTTTGTCAACGATTGGCGGTATTGGCGGCGAATCGCGTGCATTAAGCGCCGGCTGTATGCCATTCACGGCTGTTATCCCGTATATAACAGCTATTATTTGTTAGATATTGAGGCGGATATAGTGGGCTTCGGGCGGCGATTTTGCTCCAACTCAAGTCAGGCGCCCAATCAAACTGAATCATTGGCAATAAACGACCATTGTCGTAAAATTAATTTACACTCGTGCCTGTATCGACTTACGCGCACTTACCCTGTTAAAACGCGCTCAGACCTACCCGGATACACCAGGGTTAATCTGATCCCTAATTATTATTTTGAGCCCATTATTACCGAACAGTTAGCCATGGATTTGATGGATGTCTGGTATAATATGGGCGGTACTATCGGTCTGTGGATCGGACTATCGGTGCTCTCAATATCCGATTACGTGTTTCTTGTATTTCGGAAATTGAAATTAATTGTAAATTCGTTTATAAATAAGTTATAATATAATTACAGTCTATAAACTTGTATTTTATTGTTTGTATAACTTTTTAAATAATAATGAATGGTATTTTTAGAATAAAATATTTTAAATGATAAAATACTGTTTTAATTTGTCAATATACATTATACTGATTGTATTAATAATAATAATAATTTAAATTGGTTTAATAAAATTTTTAAAGTTATTTCATACTAGTATTCAATTTTAAATTATAGTTTATAGAGTCTATACTACTAATGTTCAAGTACTAAATAAAATATCATTTACTAACAAAGCAACAAAAGAAAAATATTATTTTGATATCCTATTTTTACTTAATAAAATACGTGATAAAATACATGTTTGTAAAATACTTATATTATAGATAACATTGACCACAAAGTATATAAATACTGGAAATTTCTGGAAAATCAATATTATGCCTAAATAATAATTACTATATGTAAAGTACACTGATAATTATGGAATATAAAGAATACAAACTATGGAATACAAACTTTATATTGTCTACTTTATTGCTTGTGATAGCACTTGCAAGCCTATCGCACGCGGATAGTTATGGTTTGTATGATATTTTAATTATTAATATTAGAAAGTTATTGTTTTGCAAATAATTAATTATGCTTAATCAAACAAAATGTACAAGGTTGCGTTAATGGCGAGTTTAGAGACTATGGCGACCCCAGACCAGGGATGACTCCCTGTCAACAAACGTGCCAAAACCTGGGTTATTATTTAGGTAATTGCCAGGACGATTACATTAAGGTCAATTGTGATTGTAAGAATGGTTATGTGCTCAAAGAGCGTTATGGTAAAATTTGTGTGAAACCTAAAGATTGTTTTAATAGTGGCTAATCTCTCGAGCATTGCTTGTATCTTATAAGTGCGCCCTGTATTTAATGTACTTATACCCTTGTTAACATTAAATTAATTTATTGAGATTCCTTGATGTATTCAATTAATAATTATATGCTTTATTTAATTAAACAAGCATATGCGCTAATATTGTTTAAGTTATTACATGTTTTGAGTATAAATTCATTATTGTCATAATTTACATACAGTCAATTATCTTTGCTGTCAACAGAACGGTTCCAGGTTATTTGGTTGATAACATCGATTAGTTGATAGCATAGATTATAAACGAAAATTGATTAAAAATTCATTTATTAGCTGAAATTTACATAACATACTTTTTATAGAAATAATCAGTATTGTTTGATTGTTTTAATGAATTAAAGTTAATTCAAAGATTGCATATCATTTAAATTATCGTTAAACCACTCTTTAGTTTATGAATTATTTCATATTTTGTTTGAATCGATCACTTGTTTCGCTTTTCAGGCATTTTTAATACAATAATAGACAACTTTTTGTAAAAAGTATTGGGGTTTAAACTTATTTACCGTTTAATACAAGACTAACGTATGATCAAAGCATATAATGCATTGGTTTGCGTTTGCGTATTATGTTTTAGTTTTGGTTGACAAGAAAGATATAATTATTCATATAAATGCCACAAATTTTAGGACCAAATGTGTTGATATGATAGATTGTTGACAACACAGATGTTGACAGCATAGAGATTATTTTAACATTATGTCTATGTAGTGTGTTTTTGGGTTTTAGAGTTTGGTTGATATGATCGATTAGTTGACAGCACAGATAGTTGACAGCACAGATAGTTGACAGCAAAGGTAATTGACTGTATAATATAAAAATTTTAACTTTTTAATTTTGTAAACAATTATTAAATCAGTTAAATTATTATTTATCATAATCATTATAATCAATATATTCAATAAAATACTATATTATTATAATTAATTTTTTGTAGTAATGTTTTATATATCCAGCATTTATATTTTACAATGATCTAATATACAATATGATAATATCATATAAAATTATCAAATTATTTTAAAAACTTATGTTTTATAACCATGTTCGCTTATAATTGTTTTTAAATATTGATTAATTTATAATCAGAAAAATAATTAAAATATCAATAGTTAATTAATTAACATTATTTGGTGTTGTTTAAAATTCTGTAATCTCATTTATTATATTAAATTTTGCACATCGCAATATATCTAGCATAGTTAATTTATATTAACTTTTGGCAGCAAAATAGTTGCAATTTTATAGCAAATATTTTGTCCAACCTTGAATGTCATAGTCTAGTTTTATAAATCTAAATGCACAATTAAAAATATATTTAAAATTAGCAAAATAATTTAATACAACAAAATATTATCACCCTTTCCTGCATTTAACTTCAAATAATATAATTACATTTTACAATGTCAGCATTTACATCCTGATAAATTTGATGCTTATAATAATTGTATTATATTTTTAGTAAATAGCTTTGAACAACAAAAACTATAAATACTGAACTGTAATAACATTTAATTAAAAATCTCAATAAAATCATCATGAAGAATATTATTTTAGTTGTGACATTTTTACTAGTTAATGTTTGCATTATAAATGCCCAAGGTAATTATTGCTAATTATGTCATAAAAAATTAATATAATTAAATGTTTGAAATTATACCATAATACTGTATAAGTAATATTATGATAAACAAAGTAATAATTTATTTTTAACTTATTTAAACAAGGTGAGTCGCAATCCACTAATGAGCCCGTGTGCGACTCAAATGGGTTTTACACCAAATGCGATACAGCATGCCCGATAACATGCCAAAATTACGATAATCCACCTAAATTTTGCACGTTTAATTGTGTTAAACGTTGCGCCTGTAACCAAGGTTATATTAAAGAATCGATTGGTAGTATACGATGTGTGTTACCAGAAAATTGTCCTGGTACAATAAAGGTTTAAGAATGTTTGATTTATAAATTATGAAATGAATTTTGGAAATTATTTTATGCTAAACAGTTATTATAAAACATTCATATGTAATACATTGTTATAAATTATAACTTATAATAATAATTGTTACAGAATAATGTTTAAATAAAAATATATTTCAAAGCAATAAAATATTATTTATATTAAACTTGGATTGCAAGCAAAGTTAGTTATTAATTGCTTAACCACAATTACTTAGTTAGAATTAAATATTACAACAAAAGTTTACAATTTAGGCAAACCGGCGCTAATGTTCTGCTCAATACTGCACTCATTAATACCCCGACGTATTTTGAAAAACCCATGATCGCCTTGTTTAAATAAGTTAAAAATAAATTATTACTTTGTTTATCATAATATTACTTATACAGTATTATGGTATAATAATGTTCTGCTCAATACTGCACTCATTAATACCCCGACGTATTTTGAAAAACCCATGATCGCCCCACTTTGGCCCAAACGAGTTGGCCACCAGCCAGTAGTCTACACCCGACTCGCGGCCCCATCCGATGATTTTGATGACATGTTGACCAATTGGTCTATCGGTCACGCGGTGGTAAACGCCCGACTTGTAATACTCTAAATCTTCCCACCACTACAAATAAACAATGAATTAAATTTAACAATATGCAATTTGGCTAAACTTAAAATTATAATTATAACAATAAACAATCGTGTCTCAATGCTGGCCACGAAAGTCAATTTTGCCACATGTACTTTATAAACAAAACATCATAACACCTATTATTTTTTTTAATTAACCTTTTAAGACATACTGCAATAAACAATTTACCATTGTAAATAATAAATAAATGTACATACATCAAATATTGCAACAACGGGGCCATTAGTCATGATATCTCGCTGAACATCACGATTATTATTACGATAGCCGTAGACAACAGAGCCATAGTACTTGTCGGCCGCATACGTCTTGTTGTAGCCATCAATACAGGTGGGTTCGCACCATGGTGCCGGTTTGTAAACTACCGGGGTGTGATCGCTGGGAGGTATTGTATAGGGTTTGCAACCCCGATGACTGTCATAATCGCCTCCCGTAACCAACCCATTGATAATATAGTGAAACCAGACGCGGATCGGACTGTTGCCTATAATACAGCCGCCGATGTGTCCGCACGTCAACAGGTCTTCGAGCGATATCTCCGGCTGTTGTTTACCGCCCGACGCGATGCATATCCGGTCGGATATGGCCGCCACCGTAGCGATGGCCCAACACGACCCTGGTCAAAGCAGTTGTTTTTTATCATGCTTGAATTAATCAGCAACATTGTGTAGTATGTTTACCGCAATGACCCTGATCTCTGATCTGTTTGATAGATTGGCACTCTGGCCACCGGTCTCTGGAGTCAAACTGATCCGGTATTTCATCAATCAAATCCGTGTCATGCGTGCCATCACTGGGTGGCCGAGTGTTGGCCTCGTACTGACCGTTAGAGTCTAATATAGAGTTCAAATACATTGGCGCGAAATTAGCAACGTTTTTGTCAGCCTTTAAAATATACAATATTTTATTTATTAAGTAAATAAATTAAAATACTAAATAATAGTAGAATAATCATTGTTCCATAAATGTTATGATGGTATTAATTTATTACATACCTTCCATGTGGTGTTCAAACTATTTATATATTCAATCATTTGGTCGTCATTTCTCTTGGGAGTTGGCGATTGATCTGAAATTTTTATTGTAATAACAATCAATAGTATATGAATTAATTTAGCCATATTATTATTTACTATATTTATTTAAAATAAAAAAAATTTAATAATGATTTTAGTATTTGGTATAATTTAGCAAACTTATATACTGTACCATTTACCTATCACACATTAAATAATATTTTATTGATTAGTTATTACTTACAAAATAAGTAATTATAATCTACCATTTATCCTGTTAGTTTTAGTGCATGTGTTATTTTGAGAGCAAAAATTATCATAATGCATTATCATCAGTAAAGTTAACATTTAAAATTTTCCAATACTTTAGGGAGTAATTCAAACATAATTTAATTAAAAATACATGAATTTAAATTAGATATTCAATTGGAAATTTTAATTAGTTGTCTAGACTTAATTAAGTATACGTGACAATAGAATTTAGAATCAGAATTTAATTAAATCAAACATGGGTGCAAACTAATGATTGATAACACATTTATTTTGATAAAAATAATTACCTAGATGTTTGGCAATCATTATTATTAAAATGTGTAGATAGCAGGTTGTATATCATGGTTACCTTTTAGATATACAGAACGGCCCCGATTTTGGCACACGCGATTTTAGCAGAATTCGATTTTAGCATAAGGTGTTGTTAGCACCAGCGAGTCATATTAGCACTGCTAATGACCCCGGTTTTTGCAGAACCCAATTTTGGCACATTTTTTTGACAGCACCAATGACATGCCAAATTCTGCGCCGTACTGTACTTCGAATTTTCATGTATGTACATTATATTTTATTAAGTAAATATTTCATTTGAAAATAGCATACTTCATTTATTAATTTGGAAATTTTATTAAAATACATTTTTAATTCTTGATTAAATAATTAAGCTGCAAATAAAATATAATAAATAATTATTAATTTAAAATAAGTTATATTAAATAACAATAAAAATTATAATTATTTACTACTCTATTGTAAAACTGAAGATATTTGTAAATTTTAAATGTATAAAGCTACATTTGCATTTTATTTAATTAGCAGCTTGTAAAATGAGTAGAGTGATTTAAATCTTCCTGGCCAGAACGACAAAATAAATTAGTTGTACTCAAACCCTCACTAATTAGCCAATAATTATCGCACGAATCGCAGTCAATCTCAACACTAATACTACTATCGGTATTAGTTTTTAATAATGGGTAAAATATTGACTCGTTTAAAACAGTCACGTGATTGTGATTGAGAGATATGACCAGGGCTTCTTTGGTGACCGGTGCCACAGAATACGGGTTACCCGTAAAAGACCGGTCGTTGAGATAATTGTAACTTAAATCAATATATACTTGGTTGTCTAATTGTCCGCTTGACTTAAGGTCAAATGCCAGGTCACCGACGCTGGCTATCCTATTGCCTGTCAACAGTAATTGAAAGAGCATGGGCAAATCACGGAACGCCATGCTTTCAATACTTCTCACCTGACCATAATTGATATGTAATTCTTGTAAATTGACCAGGGACACGAACGCATTGATCGGTATGACGTAAATACTAGTGTTGGTTAAGTATATTTCGCGCACGTGTTTCAACATGTTTAACGCCACGAATAGGTCATTATGCGGGCCTTCGTGTAGAGGTGTGTTACGGATTGCGAGCACTTGGATGTCGAGCGCAGTGCCGGTAAATGCATCGGAATGTATGTGTCGTAAGTTATAAGCGTTTTCAATGATAACTCGCTTAAAACGTAAGTTTGCGAATAGATTTGGCCGCAACTGTACTATCGATGTACTGTTGATGTATAGCGTGTCGAGTACTGTGTCGTGCAAAGGATGATTCCAAACATATACATCTGAATTTAGTGCCTGGTCAAATTTCTTTAATACCGTCTCAAGCGTTAGGTCGGTTATTGATTGAGAATCGCAAATGACCGTGGTCTCATTGCTACACCAGCATGGTGATATGTTTATTCCACCGATGCAAGCAGACTTAGGTGCACTGTAAACCGATCCAGATGCTATAAGTGTTTTAAATTATATTAATTATGTTTAATTATTTGCTTAATTATAACTTACCTAGTAGAATAGTTAAATATACGTAATATTTAAACATATTAAAATGTTTAATTAATGTATTAATTAAATAATTTTTAAAACTTATTACAGAATTTATAAAAATAATTAATGTTTGTGATTTAGTATTGCCATTGATTGTTGTTTATATACAAATTGGAAACTAATTATGATTGCCTAATGAACATTAAATTTTGATTATAAATTCTAGGAACTAAGCAGGGATTATTACACAATTATAAACTACCACTAATTTTTATATAAACACTAATCTAGCATTTACTAATTAGTTAATAAGTAAATGAATTGCAATAATCGTAAAATAAGTGCACATGTCTAAGTGTCCTTAAACAATTTTAACGCACACAATTTAATCATTACAACATCAATGATTTTAAATCATTTATATAAAATTAAACATAATATTTATTTTTTATTAGTAATAAAATAGTAATTAAAATTATGTAATAAAATTGACAGTAAATAAATCAATGCACTAGGTCTAGGATTTCCAGAATGTGCACGGGCGTACACATAGCATTTCTAATAGAAAAGGTCATTTCTGTACTATTACTATATTATTCATATATAAAGTAAACAATCATTGTGAATGGGTTTTGAACATTACAAATATTATACTAATTTAACGATAGTTATAAATGGGGCACCAAATGACTAAAAGCATTGTAACGTTTATAGTGAACAATAGTTCAAAAATTAACTTGATGATTCAATAATCACGTCTAATTAATAATAGCATTTTTTTGTGCTTGGAAAATCTAGCACTAGGTGTTACTTTTGATAATATAAAGTATACTTTATATAATTATACTGATCAATTGTATTAATCCTAATAAGCTTTTAAATGCATTATAAATGATTGCTGTTCATTAAATTCAAAGTAATGTGTTAAGCCTTTAGTTGTAATCAGCCGTATAATAAGTTATATTTTGTAAATCGACAGTATATTAGATAGATAAATCAATGCACTAAAAATGTTACGTTTGAAAAAATATATAATTATACTGGTTACAAAATATATTATACGGCTGATTATGACTAAAAGCTCATTTCTTTAAATTTAAGTAACAGCAATCATTTAAAATGCATTTAAAAGCTTATTAGGATTCATTTTTAATTGTTTTATAATTTAGCAATATTATTTTCATATAATCATTTATGCATGATGCTTGTTAAATTCATAATACTTTTTATGTATTAGAAGAATCAAAAATAGTTAAATTGATTGTATTTTATTTCCTACAAAATTAACTGATATTTTTTATCGAGTTGGAAATCCTTTTTCAACTATTTATATTATGCATTAATAATAATCTAATATAAACTACCCAGACAAGATATATCCGGAAAACAAATGCTGCTATACATGTATATTTAAAAATTCTAAAGAGTATATAAATAAACAGAAAATTCTAAGAAACTAACAAACATTTTCACATTTATTAATATTATCTTAACCATAATAATTATACCCTGTATTAATATAGCGATGAGAGCATTATTTTTAACAATGTTAATTGTCTTATCACTGGCCGGTCTATCCTACACCCAGAGTAAGTATTTACCACGTATTTACCAGTATTTATTAATTGATTAGTACACTTTAATAAAAACTATGCAGGGTGCATTAACGGACATTATAATAGGTGCGGTAGCGCGTGTCCCATAACGTGTCAAAACCAAAGTCGACCCCCGTTTGCCTGTACCTACCAGTGTATCCCCGGCTGTACCTGCAATGCCGGGTACGTGCGTAGAGATAGAGTCAGTCACCACTGTGTCCGACCCCGTAGTTGTCCCCGATTTGGCTAATAAGCAGTTGAAATTTGATAATAATTATATTTTTTAATAAAATGATATTTATTGTAATTTTTCATTGTAGTGTAATAAATAATAATAAACCAATACAAATTTACTTTGTATTATTTAAATAATTAAATAATATGTTATAACTTTAAATTGTAGTAATATAAATATTGCTAATTTTATTAAGAATATTGACGTTCATAAGAATAACTCAGAACTTCCATTAAATTATTGAAGAGTTAACATTTAGTTATATTAAAATGTGATGAAATATAAAGTTACAGTTTAATTTTATTAATAAACACTTAAATGTGTTAAGCCTATTGAGATGTCTGGGAACAAGTGGTGGCATTTAGGGGTCAGACAGATGTTACGCACGTGTCGTTTACCTATTGTCCACAGTTGGGGCTAGTGTTGCCAACTGGTCAAGGTTTGCCTTGATTTGCAAGGTGAGAGGGTTTGGTCAAGGTAAAAGGCGAGGGTCTCAC